GAGCGTTCTCTGTTGCAGCGCCGATGCTTTGGAATAACCTTCCTCTCCATATTAGACAGGCTACATCAGTGCCAGTTTTTAAGTCTTTATTAAAAACCTATTTTTATTCCCTGGCTTTTAACTCTGTGGGTAACTGATATTTTTTTTTATTTATTTTTTTTATTGCTATTTCTGGTTGTATTACTATGTGCATATTAGTATTGTACAGCACTTTGGTCTACCAGGTGTGTTTTTAAAGTGCTATATAAATAAATGATGATGATGATGTTTTTGAAAACATTTGTCTCATGGCATGTGGATTCAGGTAAAAGAGTACAAGGAGTACAAAACCACAAATATATCTAATATATGTAACGTTAAATCAGTAACAATTTGCACAGTGATACTGCACCAGTGGCATAAACATGCAAAGTCCATTTTAGTGACTCCGATTAGCAGACATGCCTGTTAAGATTTTAAACAGGAGAAAAAGAAAATATTATCACCCAACATAGCGTGTTTATAAAGGGAGGAACTCCACACCAGGAATGAAACCTTTTTTTTTAAAGCAGACTGTAAAACTGTCCTTTCAGGAAGTTAAAGTGAGAGTCTGTAGGGATCAACTCATTTTTGATGTGGCTCCAGTTTTTTGTTTTTACGTCTGTCTTGAATTTTTTTCTTCATCCTGGAACTTTTCACTCCTGTGCACCAGAAGTGGGCAAATATGCAAAATAATGATGCAACCAAACAGACTAAACAACCAATCACTGCATATAACATCATTTGGGATTATCCCAAACTCCAAACCTCTTGGCGAGATGGAGGAAGCGAGCAGCCGGCGTGCAAACACTGGCATCTATATAAGTTCCTTGCACTCCTTGCATAGAGCATGTTGTTTGTGAGGGTAAGTACAATCTTTATTTAGTGTGTACTGTTACTGCATTACTGGACTGGAAATACTTTGCAGACTATAAATTACTGTGTCGTTGTTTGATATCCTTTTTTGCTGTTTGCCATATTTGTTATATAATTGTAACTTTTGGGGGGTTTTTAATTTTAGATTTTTAGATTACAAGTGTTGTCTTAGCAGTTTTATTGCAGTTAGAACTGAAGTGAAGAAGTGTAATGAATGCAGTTTCCTGTAGTCACTTGGATTTGTTTGGTGGAGGTTTGATTTTAACAAAGAAAGTAAAGAACATGTGTGTCATGGTCTGCAGTGGGTGGCTGGAATTTCCATAAGGCTCCTGAACCTACCTGGGATCCGCCCCTGGGCAGGGCCA